AAACGCACCCTAAAAGATAAAATGAGAAGAAACTTTTGAAATCAAACTGAGAAATCAAAAAATTGTTGGAACCGAACCTGATAAATCAAAAATTACGGGAACCGGATGCTGCGGCGGCGACGGACGCAGTGGTGGTGCGACAACGACTGGTGGTGCGGCGACGATGGACGGTGGTGCGGCAGTGACCGGAGGTGTTGTGGTGAGGAATGGTGTAGGCCGGCGAAATTGAGTGAGGGAGAGGGGAGGATGGAAGCGACGATCTTTTGATAGTTTTAGGGTTTTTTTTTTAATTTGTTTGGTTTACCTGCTAACCAGGTTACAAGTTATATTTTTAAAGAATGATGACCTATTTAACAGGTTTAAGAAAGTTTAAGGATTTATTTAACAAATTTTCAAAAATCCAATGACTTATTTATTTCAAAAAATTATCTAAATACTTAATCAATCAAAACAATAAAGTCCATCTAAATACTTAATCAATCAAAACAATAAAATCCATTGGTTTTTATTGGACTTTCCCTTAAATTTTCAAAGCATTTAACAAACATCATCTAAGTGTCGAAAGCATTTAACAAACATCATCAAGTGTCGTTGGCACTCCTCTCAAAAATTTGAGTCAGAGATGCTCATATTTGGTCGAAAACGACGGAAGCATCGTGCACCGATTTCCATGGGGGGTTTGATGGTCCATGTATGTGGACTCAATCAGTTCTTCTCGTTGACCTATTCACTCTGTATACATATTTCTAAGAAACCCACTAAAACAATCTGAACGAAAATGGGGAATCCCATCTACAAGAACCAAGATGAACCAATTGAATCAAGAATCAAGGACCTTCTCTCTCGTATGACCGTAAAAGAAAAAGTTGGTCAGATGACCCAGATCGAACGCAGCGTCGCCACCCCTTCCGTCATCAAAGATCTATGCATCGGTAGTATACTCAGTTGTGGTGGCAGCGGGCCTTTCGAGAAAGCAACGTCGTCCGATTGGGCGGAAATGGTTGACTCATTTCAGAAATCAGCTCTCGACTCTCGGTTAGGGATTCCCATTTTGTACGGGATTGATGCTGTTCATGGTAACAATAACGTATATGGCGCTACAGTTTTTCCGCACAATATTGGTCTCGGAGCTACCAGGTGAGTGTGTGTTTCTTTTCTGTTTGAAGTTGTCCGTTTTGTAGCTATGGTGTTCGCTGATATGTCTATGTGAACTTGTGACTTAGGGATGATGATTTGGTTCGGAGAATTGGGGAATCTACGGCTATTGAAGTTAGGGCCAGTGGAATTCACTATAATTTTGCTCCTTGTGTTGCTGTGAGTTATTCAATTTTAATTTGTCCAAAATTTCTTTTTTAGTTTGTCCTAGAAACAAGTGTCCACCTTTAAGCATACTTTCCAATTTTATGAGATGGAGAAATTGTTTAATCCCGGTAAAGATGTATTTTGTTAGTTAAAAAGTGGAATAATTACACAATTCTAAGACTATGTACTTAATTGTATGGTAGACTGTTATTTTGTGTGTAGGTGTCCTAATAGACAGCATTTTAGTACCAAATGATAAATTGTCTGTATAAAAGTGTTACTATAAGTCTATAGGTAATTTTAGGCTCTTACCAAGTTCTTTAGACATTTTTAACATAAAGTGTTGTATTAACTATTTTATACGACACTTTTGAGAAATGTCCTATAAGCACATCTTTATCTTTTTATAGGTCACTTGTGCTTATAGGACATATTTTTCAAATTATGTCATATAAAATAGCTAATATGACACTTTCTTTAAGAACATCATAAAACACGAGTTATGATGCCAAACATCATCCTATAAAGTTATTGCAACACTTTTAGATAGGACCTTTTATTGTTGTTCCTATTAACTTTTCTATAAAACAGTCTATTAGGACGGTTAGACATTTTTAGTGTCCTATAAGCCATTTTGTTGTAGTGGTAGAACGAAATAATAATTGATGCATGGTCTACATAGCAATCATGCATGGGGTCTTAAATTGGCATTAGCAAAACCCCATAAGCCATTTTGTTGTAGTGGTAGAACGAAATAATTATTGATGCAGGGTCTACATAGCAATCATGCATGGGGTCTTAAATTGGCATTAGCAAAACCCCATAATCAATTAAAATGCCAAGGTGAGACATAAATGGTGAAGGCCACTTAATAGGATATCAATATTCTAAGATACTCTCAATTGCCTGCAAGACTATTTATAGTCAATTATGAATCATAAGTTGGCAAAATATGAATTGATCAACTAATATCATGGCTAGTTTAAACCGATAGTGCAAATCATCATGGCCATTTGTTTTACCAACACATACCTCATTACTTATACAATCAATAGCTCCACCTTGAGGGCAGGCTCAACGGGTAAATCAAAGTTAGGCCTTGGGGCTCCTCTTCTCAAGGCCACTGGGGTTTTCTTTTGCTGTATGCACAAGCTTGCCCGAACACCCACGGTTATCCAACAACACGTAAGCCATAATAGATATGATAGACTTCTCATAAGTGGCAATAATCAAGCTCATTCAAATGGTCTAAAATAAGCTGCTTGCTCATGTCTCAGGATGTGCATATTTCTCATGAGAGTAGCAAATCATTACATAATGTGAAATTAAAGTCAGGTGAGCTCAAATAATACTATTGTATATGCTCTTAGTAGCAGCACCATCATCACATAAGATTTTTTAGTGGAGTTGAGTGGAGGCCTTTGAGTCTAATAATAAGATTCATCAGAATATGGTGTGACAAGTCACATGATAAATACCATGTATTATGCCATCATTGTTGAGGTGGTTGTTAACTCTTTTTTTGTGACCCCTTCATGATATCATGCCTCTTGACTTGTAAACATGAAAATGTTTCAAAATTCAAAAAATGTGGATTTCTTGCGATCCTTGCATTTGACGAAATCAACAGCAAGGGTAAAATGGTCATTTATATCATTCGGACAGTTTATTCAACACAAGTAACAAACAGTAACCAAAGGGCCTTTGGCCTAGCGGTATCGTAGTCCTTGGCCTCCTACGAGGTCAGGGGTTCAAACCTCACCAAAGTTGAGGAGGGCGTGTGAGTTTATTTTTGCATTTGCCGTATATAAATATTATATACTTAAAAAAAAAGTAACATACAGTAAGTTAGCTTAATCCATATAGGCAACTTAACCCATACACACATGACACAACTTAATCTATATAGGCTTAATGGAACGACACTGATAAAGGCCCAATTAAAGTATATGTGAGAAGAAGGAAACAGGCCACAGCTGCCGATATGGGCCAGCTGAATTCTGTTCTTGGGCTTAAGCTGGATCCACTCGGTCTAGAAGTTAGCGGTAATTTGAAAGAGTGGGGAGCAGTTACTATGCCTAATTAGTAGCAGGAAGATGAAAGGG